CATATCACACGCGCAACATATTTATAGAAACTAAGCGAGTGGAAAGGACTCTTGTTTATTTCTACATGTGCTGTATCAGTAGTGGAAAATACTGCAGCAAAATAAATCTCTGACTTCATGTTTCCTAAAGCCTGTTTCGCCCACTTCATCAGGTTTCTTGGAGCATCCGCCTATTTAAAAACGCACCACTCCCACTGTGAGGATGACCTGCTTTCTTCATACAATTCAAGTGCTGCAATAACTTTAGTTCCACTTTGGTTCTTAAAAGAGCTGCTGCTGACTGCTGCTCTGCCAGTGACTGAACCGCTGATGTAAAACTGCAAAACAAAATCATGTCGGGGCTGGCTGCTTTTATAACGAAACGTCAGCAGAAGCAAGATTTTTTGTCCTTGTATACTCCTACCATAAAACCGAAGGTGTGCTTATCAAAAATTATACGCACAAAAATATATAATAGAAGGGATTATGTAGCAAATTATCTAAATGATATAGAGAAATGTGTAACCATTTCCAGGATAAGGAAAATCAAATTGTCCCTCGTGGCTTCAGGCACCAGCAGGCATTCTCCAAACAACAGGCAAAAAATGTGACACTACCATGTGCACTGCATGGAGAAATCACAGTGTGACCACTGAAAGCTGGTGCAGCTTCGTCACAGCAGTCACACTTATAATTATAACGCCACGCTGCTGCAGAAACAACCGGAGACTCCCTCCTCGATTGCCGGGGCTATCAGAAAAGTACAGAAGTGGCTCAGAGCTCAGCTTGCAGCAGAAAAAAAAAAAAGATTACATAAAAAGATAAAAACTCAAACACAGAGCAAAAGAGACGATGATAATATTTTGGGTGTTTCAAAGCGTGTGGTCTGAGAGCTCCTCGCATTTCCAGTCTTACCTTCTCCAGCTGTCATGGTGCAAAGCTGCTGAGCAGAACAGGAATGCAGATCCACAGCTGATCGCTCCACCGATCGGTCAGCTCTAACCGAAGTCTCTGCCACCTCTCTCTCTGTTTACCTCACAGTACTGCCACAGAAATGGCTGCTTTGTTTTGCTCCCTCCCTCGCTCTTGTCGATTTATCCCTCCACAGTCTCTCACTCTGCTCCCTCCTCCCTTGTCTCCTTCCCTGAAAAAACAGCCTGTCTCTTTCCATCTGTCTGTAGTCAACCATCTAGAGAGTGAGCAATTGTATATTTTTGCACTTTTGAGATATTTTTAATCATAAAATTAGTCATTTTAGCTGATCTGTAACAGATAAATGAAACACTATAAGGATGGGATACACCAAGAGAGCTGTAAAAACACGATACTTGTGTAACATATAGCACTTTAGTTGCTGAAATAGCTCAATTTTGTGAGAGGTAAAGCTACGTTTCGTAATTACCCTCTGCAACTATATCTATTACCACCAGGGGGCAGCATTTTTCCAGTGGGGTGCACTGACTCACTGCTTCCTCTTGTGGTAAAAAGTGATAATACATAGTTGAGCTTTAGCTGACATCCCTCCAACACTGCGCATCCTTTAGACATGAATTCAAAGCTGCTTTTTTTCCCAATCTCTTGTCCTTCAGTTAACTTTGGAACAGTTTAAACTTCTGTCCTTTGCAAAAAAGAAAAAAAACAAAAACTGGATTTATTACAGTTTTCCACTTTTATTTCTTTAGGAATATTTTTTCTCTTAGTTCACTTTCATTTTTACTGTGTTATTTAATCAGTGTAATTACTTTCAGTTTTAGACTGAATCATAATTACTGTAATGTGAAGGGTTTTCAGGGGGAAGATTTGGGGACAGAGCAGAATAGAATAGAACCAAAATTCAACAGAAAGCTTTATGCGGGTTTTTTTTTTACTCACAGTCATGTAGAAATACGAGACTCAATAATCAGATCCAGCAATGCTTCATCGGGCCAGTTGTGTAAACAAATTTGACCAACCTTACAAAAAATAAATAAAACTAAAGACATTTACAGTAATTCTTTCTCATTTCAGTTTCATGTGTGCACATCTTCAGTTCAGTGTTCACTCTTAGCTTTTTGCTTAGTTTTGTTACAAAAGCACAAAAAACCTTTGCAGTGCCTGAGTTATTATGAAAGTGAACTACAACTAAAGTCAAAACTTAAAGTTTAATGAAACTACTACGTAGGTTAATCAAAATAAAATTAAAAACTATACTTTAAAAAAAAGAAAAACCTGACTTACGAATACTCCATTTAACGAAAAATTCAACTTACGAAGGCACTTAACGGCAATATTTCTGCCCGTGTTACGGCAAAATGCCCATGTAACGAAATCCACTGGCTCTGATTGGCTGAGCCCAGAATGCCCAGAACGCCCACAATGCCTTCCGAATCATGTGACAACCCCCTTGGCTTTCGTACTTGCGCTTCGCTGTTCCACTTGAACGACGAATTTTTGTTGCAGTTAGCAATTAGCCTATAGCCTATCGTTCACTCAAAAGGCGCGATGGGTGCTTCGACTTACAAAAAATTTCGACTTAAGAAAGACCCTCGGGAACTAATTAATTTCCTAAGTCGGGGTTCCACTGTATATTTTTTTTAAATATATAGATGAAACATCTATACTCTCTCTCAGTTTGGTCACACTACCATCCTCAGGCATCCATGTATGTGTTCGTTGAAACTCTAAATGACTGTTAAATTTAGCCCCTGACAAATGTGCTCATTGCATAATAACATTAACTGAGCATTTTCAAACAATATAAACTCAATGAAACATCAAACTTGCGCTTCAAACTACAGTTTAACACAATTACAACTGAAGTACAAGAAAAAAATGTAAAACGAAATAAAAATTAAAAGGCCTATAATATCTCAGTGCAGTATAACAACCCATTTCCTCAATGCTTAGAGCTTATTATAGTAACCATTGTCCTTGATGTAAATATGTAAGAAAAACTGTGTATGTTTCTGTTCTGTGTCCTGTGTGTTGTATATGTGTCTTCTAGCTGCTGTTACAACCAAATTTCCCCTTGTGGGACAATTAAAGGATTATTCTATTCTATTCTATTCTATTCTATTCTATTCTATTCTATTCTTATTTTGCTGTCAAGGCACTCACTGCCCATCCACATTAACACCAGACATTCCCCTCTCTCTAAGACTGACAGATTTCAATTAAAACAAGTCACAGAGTCAATTTCAGTTGAGCTGTGAAAGAGACGAGTCGAGCCAAGCAGCTGATCGTGATGGATATAAAGGCTCAATATCTAATAAGCGCTGAAATGAGTCATGTGTACATGCTCCTCTCAGTCCTCCAAGTTAACTTTCACACAGCAACATGAACACTGGCTAAAGTGTCCACCTTTATTTATTATTAGGACTCACGCTCAGGAGTTGCTTCATATGTCCTACGGAGCTGAGCAATATTATTTATCCTCAGTGTCTGAAATTAAAGGAGATTACAAAGAAACTGACTGATGAGAACATTTTTTCTGGACTGGCTATAAGTAAAAAACAAGGATTAACTAAGGGGGGTTCAGGTGGGATTTTTTTCTCCACTTTGATGGATTTTATACAGATCTATTTAAGGAGTCGAATAAACAGAACAAAGAAGATGAAAATATGGTGCAAAAATAACTTATAAAAATAGCAGGAAAGAGATGAAAGAACTTCAGTGCCGACTGAAATGCTGTGTCATCATCTTAAGATTGCGACTGTGACTCAGCAGGCTGGTGAATACAGCTTAAATCTGACAGAAAATCGTGCCTCATCATGATTGATCAGGTCTTACTGAAAGTTAAACTTCACATGACACTCAAAGAAACTCAGAGCGGCAGCTGAGACGGGAGGTGGAGACTGTTTTGAAACACTGATCCCCGTCTCACCGTGTTCTCCTCGGATCAGCTGTTCTTGCTGTAAATGCGGCGTTAGCTGCAATTAGACAGAGTCAGCAGCTCCAAATGCGAAGGATTTCTAACATCCACCCAACTGCAGTTTTATTTTTTTGTGTTTCTGATATATTAACAGAGTCTGCTAGTCTTTTTTACTTCCACAGAGGGACAGCTGAAATCTCTGACTCTCGCCCCAGGCTGTCCATTGGGCCTGAAACCCTCCCCCATCCTCCTCCTTTCTCCACGTTCATGTACACATTCAACATGGAGGGTAGACTCAGAAGCTGACACGCCAGAAAAAGAGAGTGATGACACAGGAGAGAAAAATCTGCCACAAGGAAGATGTTGTCTTCAAGCTCTGCTGTCAAATAACTCCTAAATTTCACCCTGCACCATATGACAGACACACCAAGCTGTCCCATCCCCTCGAAACAAAAACGACTTAAACCACCAGAAAGAGAATTGTTTATGCTCCAGGGCTGCAACTGAGAAACCTTAACCCATGTATTTGTAGCTAAAAATCTCAGACATCCCCTGAACAGATTACAAAGAGGGCAGCTCTAAGGACACACTCACTGAACCATGAGTTCATATGTCCTTGTGAGAAGCAGTCTGATACAAAACGCCCACCAAAAACAACAACTACAACAACAAATGTATAAACTACAACACAGATGAAGCCTAACACCTCAGAGGAAGTCACAGTCTCTGGTCAAAAAAACAGGAGCAGTAAAATGGCCTGTATTTATATAGCGCAGTAATATTCAGCTAAAACCTCTGCAGCCACCAGGTTCACTGAAACCAGCTCTGCAAGTTTCAGCTGATTTTGCAGCTGACTCAAAAACAAAGGTGCAGGAAATCGGAACCTTTGCAGATTCACTTTCAGGACAACAGGCCCTCAGAGACCAGCTGTTTGGTCAGCCTGACCCACCAAGCGGGTGTCAGCCAGTCAGACAACGGGGAAAAACTACAATCTTTAATAAATGTGTTTGAGACGTCCCACCTGTTGCTTTTTGATAGAAGACACTGAGGTACATATAATTTATCCAGCCTAAAACTACAGAGATGTGATTTGAATTTCCACATCAGCCAGCCTCTAATGTGCTCTGCATACCAGCAGAAAGAAGCCTGAAGCAAAGGGAGGAGCACTCACCTGAACCAGAAGATGAGATCATGTTCCCGGATCTTTGGACTTCATCGAATTTGCTGAAGATTACATTCAAGCTGTAACAGAGGGACAGAGAGAAAGACAAGAATGTGAAGATAATTATGCAGATGGCACATAAAACAAAGCAGATGGGCAGCAGAAAGTAACTAAAGACCTGTTTACTGCACTATCCATCACCTCCGAGGTGAGAAGCCCTCCCTCGGCTTTCTGCTGCAGAGACCAAAATAGACCGAAACCACCACACAGATGACTAACAGGCAACGGGGCCAGAGAGAGAGCGAGCGAGAGGGGTGATGGAGGGGTGCAGAGACATATGGCCCAGTGTGAAGGAGGAACGAAGAGGACACAAAGGGAACAAAGAAGATGCCGCATCTGAATGTTCGCTGGTATCTGATATTAAACGTGAAATCACGTTTTGAGCCCGAGCTACAAAATTCTGGCGCCGTTTCAAAGAGCTTGTTCATGGCTGATTACAAGAGCGATGACCATAAATCCGATTTAGGAAAAAATAAATCATCTGGGGTGTTCAGTCATGAGCCAGACAGTAACCTCTGCAGTGTGGATTTAGACCAAAAAGTGCACGCACACCAGCTCTACTGCAGTTCAGCTCAACTTTAAATCTGCAGCCAACTTCATAAATAATGAATCATAACAGAATATATATTTTATGTTTAAACAACCATTTATTTTACACTCTGTGCTGATTTCTGATGCTAAATCACAGGTTCACAGGTGCTCCGATGAGCTGCAGAATCATGTTTTAGGAAGGTATAATCCTTATATATGGTAATTCGATAGCAATTTAAAACAGTGGTAATATAAAGAAAAATCATATAATATATTTAGCATTATAAATGGTAAATTCCTGCAGTACATCAGCTAAATCTGTAGAAACTCAATATGTGAAAAAGGCTAAATAAAATTTTCTATAATTCTAATTAAAAAGAGACTCTTGAAAGTAGGGTTGCTATAAAATGTTTAATGACTTTTACATTTTACCCACTTGAACCAAACAGCGCGTGAAAATCAAGCTGTGGTTGGAACAGGGAACTAATAAAGGGCTCTCTGTTCATTAACCATCGCTCTACCGTTAATCAATGAAGGCTATCAAAGAGAAAAATTGTTAAACGGCAGCGGCCTGTTCTCTTACCGTGACTGTGGCAGGCCCTTCTTGCTGAGATCCAGCCTCACCCTCTCACCCACATGTCTGTAGATCTCCACCAGGGAGCTCATGGCTCCATCACGGACCTGGTGACCAGCATCACACAACAACATCAGAGAGGAGTCAAACAAACAGACGTTTCTATTCAGATGTTCCACAGCAGAGTCACCATGAATAAAATGATGTAGTCAACTCATCAGACAAACCAATGGGGTGAAAAAAATTACAATTGAAAAAAAAAAGTCATACAGACTTTCACCTCCAGATGGCAGCGTTTAATCAGGTACTCTATATGGCATCCCTAGTTAACTCACTGCACCACCTGGTGGTACAAGGTGGTGCCGGCTGGCTTAATTTAAACTTCACCTGGTGTCTCTTCAATGTTTTGGTCATAAATTACACAAAATCTTCTAAAAAGAAAAAAAAAAAGAGAAGAGAGATGTCATGGTAGGCTATACCTGACTAGTGGGGTCCCCCAGGAGGTTACATATATGAGGAACAATTTTATTGAGAGTCAGGCCTTGGGCTCCATATCTGTAAGACAAACAGATCAGAGTAATGAGCAACGGGACAAAAACGAGGAGACGGGAGGACACAGATTTTTAAAAATGAGGTCACGTGACGGCCCAATCGGCCTGCTCGAGCAGAACGAGCGAAGGAGGGAAACTCACGTGTTCAGCGTGGCGATGAGACAAAGGCACACTCCTTCTCTGGTCCGGTTGTTTTTATGCTTGAAGCCTCCCAGCATTCGGTCCCACACGTACTGCAAAAATACACAACATCATGTACACAATGAAACAGGACTTTTTCAAGCTTTTGACCACAAGGGGCCAACAGCTGTGGCTGCAAAAAAATCATCTGTTTATAGAGGAGTCTACGGGTAGATTGCCCTGACCTCAGTAAACACTTTCCCATTTATGTATATCTTAATTGTGCCTGGTTTAAATGTTAAAAGGGAGGATTATCAATGTTATGTTCATTGGCTAACGACATGTGATTGATAAGTCGTTAGTCAATGAGTGTGCTGCGTCCTCAGGTTTATAGCTGGCTCTATTGATGCAGTTCACCCAGATGATCAATTTGAAGCTTCAGAGCAGGACTTGGACAACCAGTGGTGGATGTCACCATGGTAACTTCTTTCTTTTATGCTGTCTGTGCTGGAGACCCTGGGTGTAACACCTGTCTAACAAGGTCAACCACTGGCATCCTGCCGGCCACCTGCCAGCCCCCCAGCTTCCACTGCAGGAAGTCTGCGGGTGCAGACGGGTGTGGCAGCAGACTTTCACACCCAGTGAGACCCCCAAGCTCACCACAGAGTAAACAGGTGAGAACTAAAGCCGACATCCATCTGAATTTGAGCTAATGCATGACCGCCTGAACTGTCTTAGAAAAAGTGAGCGTGTTACCTGCGGGTTGGCGGTTTGTTCCATGATCTTTAGCAGCAACGTTTGGTCTGTTTCTCGCACCTGATCTTTGGCATCTCCCAATCGATCAATAAGGCTGGGCAGAACTGAGTGAGAAAAGAAAATATGAGTTATTTATTGGTACTTAACGATGGTGAAATGGCTCAGTTGTACAGGATGTTTTGTCAAGTTATTCTCATGCAAAGTAAGAGCAGATGAAGTGATCAACAGCACTCAACAGAAACTTGGTGAGAAGAGGTGAGAACAGTAGTTTGAAACTCTGAAACAAAAGCTTTTGTACATGCTCCAGATAGCTTTTCTTCAAATTCTTTAATTCTCACTCGCTTTTGCAACTTTGTACTTTTGTGTTACTCGACATGTTTCAAAGAGCCTGAAAAAAAAAATACAAAATACAAAAATACAAAATATGTTTTGTTTGATATTTGTCGATGTGTTTAAATGTGGATGAAGATTCATCCTGAGGGGACTGGGGCAAATAATGAGAGACACTGAGAGTCAACTTCCCTCAATATCAATCAGTATCCAATATTAACATTAAAATACATAAAAACTAAAAACTGAAAGTAAACTTAACAATTTTTAATTAGATAATGCAAACTAACTTTAATTTATAAAGATAATGACAAATGAATAGACTGAGTTTCACTGGTCAGGGTTTTTTTTTTTTTTTAATTCAAGCATTTGAAATAATATAGAGAAAAGCTCTGACTTCACTTCAACTCGATCAGATTACCACTTTAAAAATCCAACATTAAATAAAACATTAAATTCGCATCAAAGATTGAAATTTGAGTCTTACCTGTTCCCACCTGGGCTCTAAATCGCTCCTGTAACCTTGTCACTAAGGCAGATAAGAGGTCCAGGCCGAGCAGCGCCACCTGGTGGAGACAAAATGAAACGCACACATTAAATACAATTTAATGTAAAAAAGAAAACAAAAACAAAAATCATCACAGAAATCTTAAACATATACAATTACATGCAAATATTTCTTTTACATTTAATAGAAAAAATGAAATCAGAATGAGGAATTTATCAACAAAGAAACACTCGACACAGGCCTGGGTGTGAAAGGGGGTGGGGTTAAAACAACAAACTGTGTGCACCATGACTCAGGGTACACACTCACAACACTGACCTGTAACACAGGCCCTGCCTCTTGCAACTTTCCTTGTCATGGGGTGAGAGAACTGCTCAAGGAACGCTTAGTGAGAGCAGTCCAGCTGACACCGTAACAACAACAACACACACGCATCGCCTGGCGAATGTCCAGGGTTTGGTGCACTTTTTGGAAACCCAATTACTGTGTCCAACAATAATAAAGCAACGAGTAAAACAGCAACGCAACAATGGCTGCAACACACTGCTGCAATCTGCTGGGAGCAAAGATCCTACTGGGGAAACTTCAATATTAATCATCTCAGGATGAAGTTTAATCTGTACAGAGAAGCTTTTTTTGTCTCAGCATGTCAGTACAGATGAATTATTTTAATGAAACTGCATAAAAAGTGCTGTTTAATTTTATAAATATGAAGAAAAGGCTTGTGATCCACACATTAACCCTGGAGAATTGATTCTGTTCCTCTGGATGTTACTGTTTCACTGGGACAAATGTTTCTTCACTCATCCAGTTTACTTTTACAGTTTCAGCTGACTGCAGGTTTCCTCAACAGTATAAACAGTACATTTGCATAACCAGCACCACTGACTAACAATTAGTTTCTTGATCATTAATATGCAAATTGTAATGAACCTTCATCAGTGGCTATGCGCACCATTTACAGAAAGCTGGGAAATGGCTGCAATCCCGTCACTGTAAGATTGTGAAGTTTATACTCCTCAGTTCCGAGATGGTCTTTCCCTCTTCTACCGGAATGGCCTCTATTAATTTTTTTGTATTTCCTCTATTTTAATTCAAATGTAAGTTACATTTTATAACATAATCCCAACCATGAGTGAGAGGTTTTGCAGAGGGGGCGGGGACCTCCACTAACTGAACAACCTCATTCACCCCCAACTGAACGGCAGATTTCCACACCTCCATGAGCCTGGTTTGGCTGGAGGTTTCTTCCTTTATAAAAGGGAGTTTCTCCTTGCCATTGTCGTCAAACTGGTTGCTCATAAGGGGTAATTTGATTGTTGGGGTTTTGTCTGTTTTCTTGTATTATTGCAGGGTCTTTACCTTGCATCATAAAGTGCTTAGAGCCAACTGCTGTTGTGATTTTTTTACCAGCAAATTTACTGGGAACATAAGAGAATTTTAACACCTTAATTTAATTGTCTTTAATTTAGGGCTGTTTTAAAGACCTGCAGGAATCCTACCCTTAAAACCACCGAACTACAAAGTGCTCTTCCCTTTATATTTTCCTCAGTGTCTCCAATGGATGCCTCTCCCCTGCTGCAGGCAGAAGTCCTGGTTATCTGCAGCTCTAATCCTCAGATCAGCCTCTTTGTTCTGCAGCTGGAGAGAATGACGGTAATTAGACTGACGACAGGCCCCACACGAAGAGAGAAACCCTGCACAGGAACGCAAAACAGGTTCACTCGAGCTCTTTCTTGGAGTCATAGCTGGAGGTAAAGAGTCTTTTCTGGAAAATTGAATTACACAAGGAACGCCAAAGAAGAACGTGGTCCAGTTCAGGACAGACAGGCTCCGCCTCTTTGCAGACAGATGGCTAACTCTCTTTTTGCTGCCACCCACATCCAAAGCCCCCAAAACATACACACACACACACACACACGCATGTATATCTCTATTTCACCCCCACCCTGAAGGCTCTGGACCCAAATCTCTCAGACATCATCCCTTCCAAATTCCCAAATCCTCCAATCCGACATGCTCGGCTCTAGTTTCTTCCCCTCCTCTTATCTGCTGCATTTCAATCCTGACAGTGTGTCAGCAAATGTCCACACTGTAAGAAAAATTCTCATCTGAGTGTCCCTTTGCTAACCTTAAAACACAGTTAAAAGAAACTCTGTTGGGGTGAAAAATAAGGTCACACAGTGAGAAAACTAGAAACGTAAAGTAACGTAAAGTAATTCGACCCCCTTAAAGCACAAGGCTGGGCCACTTGGTTTACTGTTTTCTAAGAAACCACCAAAGGCAACAGCAGCACAGCTGCATGGGGACAGCATAATTTTTACATGCTGACACTGTAAAATAAGATAGCTGAAACTGGCGCAGGGCATCAGCGTTGCACGTCCCCTCATGTTGAGTTTTAATATGTTTTGAGTTTGTGGATTTAATTTATTTAGTCTGACAGTAAAAGAAAAGAGCTGATTTTTCCTAATTTACAATGTAAAACCAGCAGTTTTAAAAACGTGTCCATGCATCAAGGGCACAAAACTGTGGCCTACTTTTCACGCACAGTCCAGGTCACACTATTGCACAGCAGTGCGGGATAACAGGGATTTGCACAGGCTAAACTTTATTAATATCACAAAGAAAGAAACAACCACCTCACTAACAGGTAAGAAAAAAAAAAAACAACAACTAAAGACCAGCAGAAAAATTACAATAAGCAACATAAACCATGCGATAAATAACCAATAACTTTCAAACCCTAACCAAAGTAATACTCCACATAACAAAACAGCAACCCTAAACAGAATGATGTCATCACAAGCACTACAAGCTGCAGTTCCTCTAACGTCCACCAGGTGCTCCAGCAGTTCTCACAGACTTTACATTACAAATAAACATGCTTACAGCTGGATACAAAAATATGTTTTTTGTCTCTATGCCTAACCCTATGTAGCACCAGACTATTTTCCCTTCCTGAGATTGCACCACAGGTTTTTCTTCCTGTAAAAAGAATGTTTTTCTTTCCCAGAGTCGCCAAGGGTTTGGTCATACCTGGTTGTCAGGTTGTTGGGGTTTTCTCTCTATTACCTTATAGTATAAAGCACGTTGAAGTGACTGTTGTGAGATTGAATGACAAATGAAGCTGAACTGCACTAAATTGAAATGGAATTGATCTGAAATTCAATAATGTTAAAGGCAACAAGGGCTGTGCCATAACACTTGGTCTGTCATAATAACCACATACATTTTTATGTGATAGGAAAGTGTCATATCGTAATATTGTTACCATAGCAGCGACATCCATTTACATTCCCTAGTGTGCATAACAACTGCTAGAGGTGGAAACAATAAATGTGTTTTACCACTTGAGACAAAAACGCACAGCTGAGTACAGCCGGGCTACAAAGGAGGAGATGATGATGAGCAACCCTCCGCGCGTCGCTGGAGTACTCGCTAGTGACACTCCATATGACTCCAAAGCAAATGGTGGATGGAAATTAATGATTCGGTCACAGGGAGAAAAAGCAGGACTTTAAACATCTGGTTAAAAAGCTCAATCCAGCATACAAGATCCCAGGTAGAAAATATGTTCCAGCTTTATTCTATGACAATATTGTGCAACCATTGAAAGGATTACAAGGTTCAATTAATTTAGTTATTGTTCAGTTAAAGTGTTAATCAGTTATTTTATACTTTTATAATGCTGTGTCGCTATAGTGCTGCTGGCACATAGTTTCAGCAGATCATCATCATCATCTATATCGCCCACCCCTGTAGGCCGCTTAAAAAAAACAAACAAAAAAAAACAACTGAGTTTCTAAAGATTTTCAGCACAGGCAAAGGTCTCTGAGCAGTAACGCTACCCAGCTGGAGCTGAATGTCAGCTCAGTTCACACAGCTGCAAGACGAGTGGCTTCTTTCAAAATCTGAGCTCACAATGAAGGTTCAGACTTGAAGCATTTGTGGCAGTTAGTGGTCAGACCGTGACGCGTGTTTACCTCAGCTCAAATATGCACTCTGCCGTCACTGAAAGCTGCTTCGGCCTCGCTCGATATTTACTCTGTCAACATGCACGTGTTGGTTTAGCTTTCCATTCACTGAGATGCTGCTTCATGAAGCAAAGACAGCAAATCTCCCAATGTTTACATGATTTCAGGGGCAACCCGTGAGTATGAAGATTTTATTGATCACTAAGGTCTGGATACTCAATCTATGTGCTGTCTGATACATCTGGTGGGCTGGGTGGTTTTGTACATGGTAAAAATGCGGAAAAAAATTATTATAGTAAATAAATCATGTGGAAATGTGGTAAGTAAAGTAAAACAAAACACGGGATGCATATTTAGGTTAGAAAACTAGCGAGGGGCAGTAAACTTTAGAAGTCCAGTCAGTTTGTTTCCTGATCATGTAAAAGAAAAAGTTCAGAAAGGACTCTTGGATCAGGCTGTGATCAAACTAACCCACTAGCATCAAGCCTCGTTCAGAGGAACACGAGTGCCTCTTCATCGTCATCCGAGTGGCTGGAAAAACCCGGCAACCCACAACTGGCCACTCTGATGTGGAGAAGCCTTTAAATTAAATCAAGAATTTCTCTCAACTCGCCATCTCATTACCAGTGGAAACACTACACACGGACACACACACAAAAGGAAACATGTTGCCATCTCTGCTGTTACACACACACACACATGCAGCAACCTGTAAAGACAAGCAAAACTCAGACATCGATCAAACTCCTCAAAAATGAGCCGTGTCCCTCACACACGGAAAGCCGGATCATTTTCCAGCTTTGTAATTATATACAGCATACCTGTCCCTCCCTCCCAGCCTCCTGCTCTGTAATCACCACATTCTCATGTCTCTCACAGTGCCATAAATCAAGAACTTTTGTCTTTACTTGGTCTACCTTTCAGCTTAAACTCTAACTGTAGCTTACAGGTCTGTTTTCTGGATGCAGCTGCAGGTCAGAGATGAGCGCAGCTGACATTTATGGCTTCATTTTTAAGCTGCTGATGAGCATTAACATTTGAGTCCTTTTGATAGTTTGTTTATCAAAGCTGTATCTGTGCTGCA